TGGTTTATACCAATAATTACAAATGATTTTCTCTTACTGCATTTTTAAAACAAAGTCCACCCTAAGTTACAAATTCCTTTAGAAGGAATTTGCTTTAATATCCTCTCACCCAAAGTAAATGGCAATTTTCCTTTCACATTTTAGGTCTGAGTTTGTATGTATTTATTTTTAAGTAATTGTGATTATGTAGTAGGATCATATTTTATAATACATTGCTTTTAAATGGCATTTTTATTCTTACTTTAAAACATATCATTGTAGACTTTAGAAATTAATCATTTTACCAATTTTTATATATTTACATCTTTTTTATGCTTTAAGGTATTTTATATTTAATAAAATTAGCCAACTTAAATGTATAAATCTGTGGATATTGTCAAATGTATGAAGTCATGTATTTGCTACCACCAGAAGTTTGATATAAAACATTCCCATCACCTAAAAATTTACTTTATTGCCCTGTCTGGGTGGCTCAAACTGGTTGTAGCATCATCCCATACACCGAAGGTAGCAGGTTCAGTTTCTGGTAAGGGTGCATGCAGGAGACAGCAGATTGATATTTCTCTCTTCCATCGATGCTTTTCTCTACCCGCCCTCCCCTCTCTAAGATCAACTTTAAAAACATCCTTGGGTGAGGATTTTTTAAAAAAATATTTCCCTTGTTCTCCTTTATCAATCTCCTGCCCCCCACTTTTCATTGGCAACCATTGATCTGCTTTGGTCACTGATGTTTTTACCTTTTCCAGAATTTCAAATAAATGGAATGATATGTAGTCTTGTGTTTGGCTGCTTTCCCTAAACAATGATTTAGAGATCATTTATGATGCATGTATCAGTGGTTTGCTTCTCTTATTGTTTAATAGTTTTGCATTGTATGGTTATACCAGTTTTTTTATAAACTTGTTGATGGACCTTTGAGGTTTTTTTCCTGTTTTTTGCTATTATAAATAAAGCTGCTATGAACATGTGTAACAAGTCTCTGTATGGATATATTTTATTTCTCTTCAGTAAATGCCTGATTAAGATTATTGTGTCATATGGTGTGTTTAAAGGAAAGTGCAAACTGATTTCCAAAGTGGGTGTACCATTGTACACACCCACCAGCAATGTGTGATGGTCCCAGCGTCTCAAATCCTTGCCAGGTACGGTTATTTTTAGTTGTACTTTGTTGTTGCTTTGGTTATTTTAGCACTTAGTGGATGTGGAACCATAACTCATTGGGGTTTATTTTGTATTTCTTATAATCATCAGTGATGAGCATATAATATTTCACATGCTTATTTGCTGTCTTCCTTTGTGTTTTGATTTTCCACTTCATGTTAAGTAATTGGGGCTTTAGGGATATGTCTGATTTTAGAGAGGAGGATTTTTGATGAATTTTAGAAATGCAGAAAATTATTAAATTCATTGACTCTAAAAATGGCAAAATGTGCCACTCTTTGCTTGGTTGGTATGATGCAGAGAGGTCAGCCAGTGTTAGGTGTCAGAAGAGAATAGCATGAGTGTCAGGTAAGGAATGAATGTCACGTGGCTGCATAGCACCTGGGAGGTAAAGAATTGGGCTGAGAAAAAGCATTTCTTGATGTGGGTAAAGAATGCATGGGAGCTAAGGAAGATGGCTGAGGTGGAACTTTGTAGAGAATCCCATCAGCCCTGCTGAGTGAGCTAGGGCAGCTGTTTTAAATTGTGATTACCTTTTTCCTAATTCTTAATTTTGATTCATGTGTTCATTGACCCACTGTGAATTTTCAAATAATTTTTTTTTCCCCCCAAGAAGACAGTGACATATTTCTGAGTCCTTGCAGAATATAAGATGTTACCTTCACATAATGAAGGCAACTTGGGGAATAAAACTCGTGTTAGCAAAGCTTTCATTTGATGACATAGTGATTCTTTGGTGACTTCTCTTTTTCTAGGCCTCTCAGGTATATACCTCTTAGGTATTTTAATGCTTCCATTCACCCCATTCTCTTTTTTAAAAAAAATATATATTTTTATTGATTTCAGAGAGAAAGAGAGGAAGCGATGGAAACATGATGAGCCAGAATCATTGACCAGCTGCCACCCACACAGCCCTTACCTCCATTGAGCCCACAACCCCATCATGTGTCCCTGACTGGAATCGAACCTGAGACCCTTTAGTCTGCAGGCCGATGCTCTATCCCCTGACCCAAACCAGCTAGAGCCACCCCATTCTCTTTTAACAGCTATTTCTCTTGTTAAATTACTTGTTTCTTTTCATTGTTATTGGAAAACAATTTTTTATTTGAAGGCCAAGAAACATTTTTGTAGATTCTGGAATAAGAAGATAAATGAAAGCCAATATACCACATTGGATAAAATATGTTCTATCCTCCTAACTTGATAAATACGCATTCATAATGAAAAAGTAAGAAATGGCATATAAAACCGATTTTTTTCCTACAACTGAAGGTCAACAAAATATCTAAAATGATTTCTAGACCTAGTTTGAAGAGAGTTTTCCCAACTATTTCAACCTTTTCCAAATATTTTTATATCAACTGATATAGCCATGGTTTTGCTTTTTTAATTTTTTATTATTTATTTTTTTTGTGGATTACATTGATTGATTTTCAAATATCGAACTAATTCTACATTCCTAGAATAAACCTCACTTGATTGCAATGTGTAATATTTTAAGACTAGTGGCCGATGCACGGGAGGGGGGTTGCTCAGCCCAGCCTGCACCCTATCCAATTGGACATCCCTCACAATCTGGGACCACTGGCTCCTAATCACTTACTTGCCTGCCTGCCTTCCTGATCGCTCCTAACTGCCTCTGTCTGCCTGCCTGATCATCCCTAACTGCCTTTCCCTGCCGACCTGATCTCACCCCCAAGGGCCCTCCCCTGCTGGCCTAATTGCCCCTAACAGCCTCTGCCTCAACCCCCACCACCATGGCTTTGTCCAGAAGATGGCCAGTCGACCCGGCCTAATTAGCATATCACCCTTTTAGTAGTATAAATTGATTATATAGGATAGGATTACTTAAATGGAGGAGAAGGAGGGGGTAGCCTTTTTCATTAGTTGGAGATGCTCTTGGCAGACAAAAATACATAATCCCTATATCTGGACTGATAGCCAGCCATATGCACTATACTGCCAAACCGGTCATTAAAAAATTGAATCGCTTTCTTAACACTTTACACCAAACAGCTGTTGCTCTTAAAACCCCTCCTCAGCCCCCACCTTAGGTTTTGCCTTCACACTTCACCCAGGTTTGGTTCTGATTGGCCAGTTTCTATGCCAGTCAGCATCTCTGGGCCTATCAACGGGCCTGATCAGAGAGGCGGGGCTGATCAGAAGCCCCATTGGAGGCCCAAGAGAAAGAAAGGCACAGCTGCTGGCCAGGCCCAGAGTGAAAGAAAGAGGCAAGGGCTGATCAACAGCTGCCATGGAGGCTACAGATCAGACCCTACTTCTCCAGGCCTCTCTCTGGATCAGGTCTGCAGCCCCCTCAGCAGTGAATGCTGGGTTGGAGCGCCCACAGAGGTGGCAGTCAGTGCTAGGTCACCATGGCAACCCAGCACTGATCTCTGGTCTGTTGAGCCTTCTATCATTTTGGATGTTACGGACCCTGGGTTTTTATATATTAGGATTTTTGCTGCTCTGTGCATGAGGGACACCAGTCCATAGTTTCTGGAAGAGACTGCATAGAATCATTGATAATTATTTAAGTGTTTGGAAGACTTCAGTGAAACCATGTGCACTTGGATATTTCTTTTTCAGAAGTTTTAAAATTAAGAATTCATTTTATTAATTTTTAAGAATTCAATGTATTTAGTTACAGGATCAGACTTTTGGTAGTTTGTGGTTTTCAATGAATTGCCCCATTTTTATCTAAGTTGTTGAACTGTCAAGTGGTTTAAATCCAAGCTTTGGTCATTATGAATGAAACTACTATAAACGTTTGTACAGATTTTTGTGTGGACATAGTTTTAAGCTCATGTGAGTCAATACCAAGGATTGTGATTGCTGCGTATGGCTTAGTTTAATAAGAAACTGTCAAACTCATCCCAGTGGCCTTTGCACACCCATCAGCAGTGAATGTGACTTCCTGTTGCTCCACATTCTCAGAAGTATTTGGTATTGTCAAGGTTATGGATGTTAGCCACTCTAATCGGTGCATCAATAATCTCATCTTAAAGTGCAATTTCTTAATGTTGTATGATCTTAAGCATCTTTCAGATGCTTATTTGCCATAGGTAGACCTGTAGGAGTTTCCCAGAACTTTGCCCATTTTTAAATTGGGCTGTTTTCTAATTGTTGAGTTTTAAGAGTTGTTGGTATGTTTTACATGCCGATCCTTTATCAGATGTTTTGCTAGTTTTCCTCATACTCCGGATTGTCTCTTTCTTGTGTGTTAATGAAGTTCAACTTACCAAGTTTTTCTTTCATTGATCATGTTTTTAGTGTGGTTCTTAAAAAGTCATCTCCAAGTCAAAACCGGTTTGGCTCAATGGATAGAGAGTCGGACTGCAGACTGAAAGGTCCCGGGTTCGATTCTGGTCAAGAGCATGTACCTTGGTTGCGGGCACATCCCCCGTAGGGGGTGTGCAAGAGGCAGCTGATCGATGATTCTCTCTCATTGATATTTCTAACTCTCTATCCCTCTCTTACTCTCTGTAAAAAATCAATAAAATATATTAAAAAAAAAAAAAAAGTCATCTCCAAAATACTGGGTGGCCAAAATGAGTAAGATACACTGCAGGGGTCAAGATCAATTAGGGGACTGTGAATTACTTAATAGAAGCTCATCAGTCATGCAGTTTTGTGGAAACAGCATGGTCCAGCTCTTAAAAATGCTCCCGCCTTCTGGGTCAGCTGATGCCAACACATACCCAAGGACACACCTGTCCCCTTCAGTGTCAGCTGCCGGTATCTTTTTCGTAGAACTCAGATCTGGCCAAGAACTCAGCCAACTATTGTATTTACTTAAATGAAGATACAGTGCATTAAATCACATCAGGACAAGTGAACACGTATATACAAAATCTTTATAAATTCACGTTTTGCCAAAAGTGTACAAGCAGTCTCGATTCACTGGGACAAAAATGAATATTCTTGTTCTCCACAGGTCGCGGAATGAAACTGTGCAATTCAGAGACGCTATTCTAGAACCTGAACTAGGTTGGAAAACAACACTGTGTCACATTAAAAACGACACACATGGTGAACCTGTTAAATACCAGCTGTAAAACACGTTATACCTAACAACTGTACTAACCTGCTTGCTAAATAAGGCTCTGTTTTATACGATGCACAAAATTTCCAAAACCGGTTTGACATCTCTACTTATAAATTAATTCACAGGACTCGTGTAGCTGCTTTTTAGTGTCCGGGTATTAGCAAAAGTAACACAAAACGACCCCTGTGCAAGCAACAGATTTACCTTCCTTCCTAAATGAAAACATCAGGTTAGATTAGATTACAATTTGTTCCCCTCTCCCCCCTTCCCTCCCCCAAAAAAAATCTCTGGACATTAACGAGGAAGGAGGATTTTTTTTTTTTTATCAGTCCCCAACATCTCCTGCTGTGGCCTCCTGCTGTGACTTCCTAACCTTAAGGAACTCAGGGCCTGGCATATGTTTTCCCAGGAATGGATGCAGAGGGAAAGGGGAGCCATTGGGGGGAGGAGGAGGGGAAGAAGGCCCAGGGTGCTCCTCCCAGGCTCACGGCTGAGCTGGCAGGACTCAGGGCCCGTGAGCCAAGTATACCTCCCTCCTGCACCAGGCTTCTCAACGACACTGCCCATTTGGGTAACTGGTTAGCAGACAGCTGCTGGGCATGTCACACAGAGATCGGAGGCCTTGTACAATGCCCCCTTGGCCAGGTTATACCCGTTGGTGGAAGAGAATGGAGCAGAGAGCAAACATAGTAAAGATCAGCTCTCCTCTCTCAATCTTCCAAACCTCACGCCCTGTGTCTGAAACACACTTTTAAAATGGCTGTTCTCTCTCCTTGCACGTGTGGAAGAAATCCAAGTTCTGCAGACAGCTGCCGTAAAGAGAGGCTCCGAACCCAGCAAGGGAGGCCTGCAGCGCAGAGAAAATGGGTTCCCCCGTGAAAGGCAAAATGTTGCGTTTCAGTTCAGTACCATGCGGTTGTCTCCATACCTCTTAAGGCCAAATCTGGTCTTCCCAGGGAGCTTTAAAATGTTTCTGCCCATTTCCTACTTGGAAACGAGTGGGAGGAGAAAGGGTCAAAAACCTCGCATGACTGAAGGCGAAGCAGCCTCATGTCTGTGTATCAGCTCAGCTGGGATTACGTTTTAAAGGAGGAACCCTGACCTAGAGTTAAGATTTTCTCACATATGGGAACCATCTAAATGTTATTCTGTTAACGTAGCTTAGTGTTATTAGGCTATACTTGTCTTAGACCAATATTGGGCAAGATGGATATTTAAAAAAATAAAAAGTAAGGCCTCCTGACTTTCCTGCTTATCAGGAGAGAGGTGGCAACAATTCAAGTGTCAATTTCCCTTTCCTGGGAAGAGGTTTAAAAAAAAACTTTGCTGCCCTCAGAACTCTGTCAGTTTCTTGAGAAATCCACATGGCATTCTAATCAGAGCTAAAATGTAAGAGCAGGAAACATATATACAAAACTGAGCACTCCTTCAAGACAGGAACTCTTGCTAACGCTGGGAAAATCACCTGAAGGAGATGCTTACACAGGGAGAGCCCCTTCCTGGGTGAGTGAGGCTAGAGAATCAGGATGTGGCATTGCAGGTGCGTGCTTTATTGCCAGACACAGTACATGGAGGAGGAGCCAGGCCCTGGATTCGCACGGGGATTGTGTGCTCAGGTGCTCTGCTCACCTAGAGGTTTGCCACAGTGGCAACAACCTGGCTTTGCGAACTAGCCTTTCTCCTCAGAGCCCAAAACCACCTGGCAAGCGTAAAGGGCAAATGTTTCCTTCCTTTCCATCGAGTTGGCTGCATAAGCACTCAGAAGAACACCAGCCTGGACCCAGCCCCTCCCACCACGATGCAGTGCAAATCGTGCCATCACAAGAGGCCGCCCAAGAGGCTACACGTTGGTCTCCAGGCCCAGCAAACGTCCCATTCGCTCCACGTTCTTGTCGATGGTGGCCTGACATGTTATCTCCTTGGCACACTCCATAGGAAACCAGCCCCTCTCTCCGTCTCGCAGTCTCTCCCCTTCATACCAGCCTGCAGGGAAGAACAGAGTGCCTTATGAAGCAATGCGTGTCTGGATGTATTTTCATGTGCTCGGCTCCAACAAGGAAGTAAGGTGGAGAGGGAGGTGGGACAGAGGGGATGATGGCTTCCAGGGGAATGAATGACATGATCAGAGGCGCCAAAGTGAGCAGCGGAGACAGTAGGCAAGTTTGGGCCAAGCTGGGGAAGAGGGCGCTTTGGGGAGGGGCAGCAGGAAAAAAACAAAACGATTGTCCGGGGATGAGAAGGAAAGAAGGAGAACGTTTCATAGTTCCTTTTGAATAACAAACCACGTGACTGCATCCCTTTTCAAAAAGATGTAAGACGCAGAAAGTGTAGAAAGAGGAGAGGCTGGTACACAAACAAAGAAAGAGTCTCTGGGTCTTTGGCAGCGATCAGACTGTCAAACCTCAGAGGGAATGTAGGGGAGGGTGGGGGTAAGGGGCAGAGATCAACCAAAGGACTTGTGTGCATGCATATGGGCCTAGCCAGTGGCCATGGACAACAGGGGGGTGGGGACATATTTGGGGAGGGGTTTGGGATGGGAATGGGGGGATGAGGACAATTATGTGATACCATAATCAATAAAATTTAAAAAAAAGAAAAAAGAAAAAAAAAAAGGATAGCCCTAACCCATTTGGCTCAGTGGATAGAGCGTTGGCTGGGGACTCACAGGCCCCAGGTTCGATTCTGGTCAACGGTATGTGTCTGGGTTGTGGGTTCAGTCCAACGTGCAGGAGGCAACCAATCAATGATTCCTTCTCATCATTGATGTTTCTCTCTCTCTTCATCTCCTTTCCTCTCTGAAATCAATGAAAAACAAAACAAAACAAATATATATATACACATACATATATATATATATATATATATATATATATATATGTATGTGTATATATATATTTATTTTTTTTTTTTTAAGGAAAACAAAATGGATATGGAAAATGCGCATGGATAACCAAAAGCAGACTCCTTGCTTCTTCACACCCTGAATGCCCATAAGAACACTTGCACTCACCATCGCTGACACGTTGATAAATAAGGACCACGTCGGCCACCTGCAGGGAGAGCTCGTCGGGCTGCTTGGCGGTAAACGACCTAATGATTTCTACCTGAGTCAGCGCTAGGGAGGAAAGGGAATACACTGAGCTTCCAGCAGCAGAGGGAAGACAGAACAGGTATGCATCAATAGCGTTCTCAGTCTCTCTGCGCAGCTCGGGGCCGGCGTCCACAGAAACAAGTCAGGCTTCTAGGAAGAAGCAGGAAGTCTTTCCCAAGAGCTCTCATCCTGGGCTAAGAGCTTTCTAACTCAGAAGCTCGGGATCCAGAGAGGCCCTTTATGATGTATGAATCCCCTACAGAACAGCCTTGATAAGGAGCATCACATAATGGGGCAGAAACAGCCGTAGGCACTGGGGAAACCGAGATAAGACAGGTTAGGTCACGTGCCAAGGACATGCAACTGATGATGCAATCCACAGCACACCTGGCCCTCCAGGCTCTCACCCAAGGTGCTGTCCCCATCAGTAGCAGCATGTGGGAGCTGCCTGAGGTTTAGAAATAAAAAGATCTCCAACCAAGAGTTAGAAAACATTTGGAGTTTCCCTGTTATGCCAAACTGTAATAAAGCCATTAACGTCAGTGACTTGGTATGGACAGACGAGACTTCTTAGGTTTTTTTTAGTACAGAACTTGATTCTATGAACTTTTATTCCAATCCATCCCTTCAGCTTTGGCTCTACGCTTAAAGCTATGACTTCCAAGAGTTCCCGGACAAACAGCGTTGTTGCCCTCTATTCTCTGGGTTTGACCTTCCAGCTAGAACCACCCAGAGAAGTACAATGTCAGCGTGAAGGCGCTAATGCACCAACCTTGACCGCACCAGCTCCTAGTTCTCTAGAAGAATGAAATACACTTTGTTACTACGATCACTTCAATTAAAAAAAAAAGGCCAAAAGGAATGGTAAAGCCATTTTCTTTAAAGTTAAAAATACATTTCAGCTTAGATTTAGACAGTCAGTATGGCTTCAATATGCAACCAATGGCCCTAAACCACAGCTAAAAATGCAAGGCCTTTGCAAGTCTATGCAGAGCTTTCAATGGATATTACTTAATTCCATCTTTCCAATCACCCGGTGCTGTGCTAGTCTATATATCATGATGCCCCTGATGCAGAAGGTCAAAGTGGCTCGGTGTGGATATGCCACACTGTATCCCATTTATACAACAAAGAACTGCACCTTGGATTTGAGTTCGGAGTCCTGGACTTCCAGAGCAGGGATCACCTAGCTCTGATATGGGACAGGCAGCAGGAAGGAAAGAAACCTGGGGGAGACCATGAATACCCTAGCGTCCAGCAGGGGGCAGAGCCCCTCCACGGCTAGCCTTTCAGCACAGCCAGCCCAGGAGTTACTTACAAGTCCGGTCAGGAGGCTGCTTCCCGCTGCTGTGTCCCAGGGCAGTGATCCAGCGGGCTCGCTCACTCCTAAACACGCAAAACAGAGCCAGTTGAGAGACGCAAGGTGTTTACCCAGAATGAGGAATGCAAAGCCACTTCCCAAACAGGGGAGAGATGATAGAGAGGTATGGGGCTGACCTTCACAACCAAGGTTAGAGGTTTTAAATGGTCATCTGGGACACTTAAACCGTTCTGAATGAACTTGGCTAGCTGTTGATGAAGTGGCACTTCTCACTTGACAGTTTGGCCTTTCATAAAGAGCTAATGACACTTACGTATTGCAATCACAAGAAGATGTTCAGCAACTCATAATGTGAATTAAACATTTCAAAAAATTAAATTTCCTTAAAAAAAAAAAATACCACTAAGGCAGTCTCCCTCCATGCCCCCTTGCCCCCACTTAAACCTTTTTGTAAAAGATGAGAAACTTGATTTATTTAAAGCTGCTTTGTTCCCCCTTTAACTAATATTGCCAAATATGAGCTTTATTGAGACAGAAAATTTTGACCTTTTTTAGTCTGTGCTCAAATGCTTATTAATATGGCTTAGTGAGTACAGCCAAAACTCATTCAAGGCAAAAAACAAGCAAGACTTTTTCTACAACAGTAAGCTATATTTACATGAAACAAGATAATTGCTTAATGAAAGGATCAAAAGTTTCATATAAGCAAGCACTACTCCATAATACAGTTCATGGCCTGGAAAAGCCAACTATTTGGGATTGCAATGAAATGAACTACACACCCATACACACTTTGAAATCTCTTAAGAAGCATTTATTAAGTCCACACTACATGGCAGACGCAACACTCGACATCCATCCATTATATCATGCTCAACCACTGAGAAAGATGGGTCAGAAAGGCCGGTGAGAAAGATGAGAATACTAAGTTCTAACATCCAAGATTCCAACCAAGGTCAATTGCTTCTAGGGATACCCTACCTTCTTACCTTCTTCATGTTCCCTACTTGAAAAACAATTTTCCCCTCCCATCATAGCTTGCATCTAAAAGATGCTTCTTTCTCATTAACACCCCATTTAAAAAATATATATATATATTGATTTATTTCAGAGAGGAAGGGAGAGGGAGAGATAGAAACATCCATGATGAGAATCACTGATCGGCTGCCTCCTACACGCCTACTCCTGGGGATGGAGCCCGCAACCCAGGCATGTGCTCGAACCCCAGTGGGGGCCATGCAGGAGGCAGCCGATCAATGATTCTCTCTCATTATTGATGTTTTTATCTCCCTCTCCCTTCCTATCTGAAATCAATAAAAATATATTAACAAAACACACTAAGAAAACACACACACATGCTGAAACTGGTTTGGCTCAGTGGATAGAGCGTTGGCCTGCGGACTGAAAAGTCCCAGGTTCGATTCCGGTCAAGGGTATGTACCTTGGTTGTGGGCACATTCCCGATAGAGGGTGTGCAAGAGGCAGCTGGTCGATATTTCTGGCTCTCTGTCCCTCTCCCTTCCTCTCTGGGCTCTCTGTCCCTCTCCCTTCCTCTCTTTAAAAAATCAATAAAATATATTAAAAACAACAACAACAACAACAAAACACACACACACACACACACACACACACACACACACACACAAACCCCAATTCCAAAAGTGCAGTCAGAAGGGAAAGCCAGGTGGTCTGGGGTCCATGAGCTGGGATCCCCTAGTGGGCACTCACGGCATAAAGAAAAGGCGGGAAGCGTGGACACCGCAGTGTGCGGACAGACAGACTTCTTTACAAGAGGAGGAGGAGACTGGACTCTGGGGGCTGGGGGGTCGGCAGTAACAAACACAAACTTAAACAGCACTCCCCATGCTGCCCGGCTTTTCAAACCATTCAAAGGGCTTCAGGGTGGTCTTTATCAGGAACATGAGAGCATCCTTTTCTTTAAAACAACCCCACGCAAACACTTCCATCTGGGATATCATCTCTTTGTGGGGTACCCATCTACTTTTTATTTATTTATTTTTTAACTCAGGCTCAACTGGAATTTGCAAAGCACAGAGGAAACTGAAAACAAAGCATCTTATGGGTGGAAGGGCTGCTCACCAAGAGAAAGCTAAAGTGGCCCATCTGCGTTCTCTCTGCGCCCCGTCCACCAGCCAGTCCCCTCGGTGGCCCGCGCCGTGGCCCCCGCTGCTGGCGGCATCCTCCACGCCAGGTTTCCCTGGCACGGCTCTGCCCTGGCAGCCAGCGGCCGCTCTCAGCCGGGCCTCCCCTGCAGCCAGTTTCCAGAGGCCCAGATGAAACCCTTCTCCCCGGTGGCAGGCTGCCTGGATGCTAATGCACCGCGCAGACACGGCGGCCCCTCGCAGGGGCTCTGGGGGACAGAACAAGACGCTCCTTGTTGCCCTGGCTGAAAGGGGCCCCTTCTTGAAATGGCTTCAATGGAATAGATGCTGTCAGAACCTCACGACTTCCCCCAGGGCCTCCAGGAGCCCTGCCAAGGTCCCCCTTTCCCTCCCCCCCGCTTGTCCCCCGCCCCTCCATCAGCTAGCAGAGAGCACAGTTCTCCTCTCACACAGGGGGGCGGCGCTCCATAAAAGATGACAGGAGTCTAAGAACAAGACAAACCAAATATGAAACATAGATATCAAGTCCAGGGCTCACTCCAGACAGCTTTTCTCGGGGGACAGTATGAACTCATCAACATGAAGTCACAGGGCCCCCCACACCCAGTTCCCAGACTTGTCCGTTGGCCCAAAAAGTGTGAGAATCAACAGGGCTGCCCTCCCGGGGACCTGGGCATATCCACCTCTAAGGCTCTGAGGCTGTTCCTTTATCCGCATTCACGGAGCGCCAGCCTGTGCCAGGGTCTGTGCCAGGCTGAGGCTGCCAAGCGACTAAACAGGCTCTGCTGCTCTTCATAGGCCTCAGCGTGGAGCAGACAGAGCAGAAAACCAACCCCACACAGAGCCATGAGCCCGGGCAGAGGGCTTTGCACAGCACACATGGCCCAGAGAGGGGGAGAGGGTTGAGTTGAGAAGAGGCGCATTTCCCATAGACATCTGTTCATGCCATCCTTTCAAAACCCCCACGTTCCCCATGCAAGGCGTGAACGGTGCAAGCACAGACCCCTGAGACAGCACCTCCCCCTGCCTCACACAGCATTCATGAAAAACACAGTCCATCAAAACTTAATTGCTCCCTATTCGAAGATACAGCAGAGCTGGACTTCCCTTGAATGCGAGGCATCGGCTAGAAAAGACAGATAAGTCCTGAGAAAGTGCAGAGGTGGCTTTGAAACGAAGAGGCAAGGCTCAGGATTAGGCTGCACAGAACGGAATGCCCACCAAGGACCTGACCCCCGACCTGGTCCTCCTGACCTTTCCGTGGAGGCTGAGAGACCCCAGCGGCTGCCTCACCTTCCTTTCATCCTTCTTACAATGGCATTCGATCAGATACCTTTGGGGGTTCCTTCTCACGGCCTAGACTTTTACCTGTGGTGCCTTTGGAAATTCGTATATACCCACAGCCTTTGGTTAAAAGTCCCCCAAGCATGAGTAACGAGTAAGACAGTGGCGATGCTGTTTTTGTTCACTCTGACACTCAATTCAACTACCGTATTTTCCGGCCAATCTGAGCAGGCTTTTTACTAGAACACAGTGTAGCTTTGGGTACAGAACATGTATAATTTGCATGCATAAAAAGCCTGCTTGGATTGGCTGAGTTAGAGAGGCGGTCTATTAAAAAAAGAACTGGTGTTGCCTCGGAAGTGGGGGGTCGTCTTATACAGCGAATATAGGCCTAAACCTATGTTTTAACTGTAAAATTAGGGGGTCGTCTTATACGCCGGAAAATACTGTAGCTGAGTTCCATAAAGTGTTCTATGAAAGAAAACTCACAGGGTAGGAAGAAAAATGCTGTCATGATGCTGTGTGACCAAGCTGATGGAGCTAGACTCCAGCCAGAGCAAAATCATTTCCCTAGGACAGTGGTCGGCAAACTCATCAGTCAACAGAGCCAAATATCAACAGTACAACAATTGAAATTTCTTTTGAGAGCCAAATTTTTTAAACTTAAAATTTCTTCTAACGCCACTTCTTCAAAATAGACTCGCCCAGGCTGTGGTATTTTGTGGAAGAGCCATACTCAAGGGGCCAAAGAGCCACATGTGGCTTGCAAGCCACAGTTTGCCGACTATGGCCCTAGCCCACTAAGAGTGCTAAAAATTTAGGCTTTGTGACATGCACTAAAGTGTAATTATTTCTTGTCATATCTAATAACTCATGAGACCTAGTCTAGTCCAGAATCCTGGAGTTCACCAGCGGTGGGTCAATTGTTTCCTGGATAACCAAAGATCTGTACTATCACCTGCCCTCCTCCTTCACTGGGGTCAGTAACGAGGATCACAAACTATAATGAATTTTGACAGACTCGGTACAAGTAAAAGATCATTATTGGACATGGATTCAAGATTCAACAAGGAGAAAATACTCCAACCTATAATATATATATATATATATTTTTCCTTGCCCATTGTCATCTCTAGATTGTGGATTTTCCCTGAAGGGTGTGTTAAGAGTCTGTCAAACATACGATTTACAACTTTATTCCATACCATTTAATTCCTGTGGTTAATTAAATCATTAACATGAGCGGGAATAGCTCAAAAGACTCCCGCCAATCCATGTGCCTTTGTCGGCAGGCCCAGGAGTTGGCTGTCTGCACAGCTAACAAGACCAATCCCATCCATTAGGCTCCCAGTTCTTGCGAGAGAGAAATGGTGAGAAGGTTCTTTGATGACCGTGAGAGATGATTATATCGTATCTTTAAAAATAATGGGTGAAGCAAGTTTGTGTCCACCACTGAGTACCTCCTGGCATCCCGTCACTATGTACACTAGGCCCAGATGCCATCCAAATTCCACTGCGGACAAAGGATGCCAAGGACGCCACTTGCCACGGCCCCTGGTCTGTGCCAGCAGCAGCTGTCTGGGCTTCATTTGAATGAAGGCAGTCAAAGGGGGCTCTCCGGCTCCCACATTCCTCTTGAAAGGCCCAGAGGGAAAAGAGAGGATGGTAGTAAAACATTCTTCCTTTGTCCTTTCATAAAGGGTGAGCTTCTGTAATTTTCACAGACTACTGTCTCATTAACAAGACAATGACTCAAGATTTTTAACAGGGAAACTGATATAGCAGTATACATGGGCCTAGATGTACATCCTAAAAAATAAATGAGTAAAATAAAGTTTAACCATCTCCTTAATGAGCAAACGTTGTAAAACACGTGGAATATAAAGGAAATTTCCTCCAGCACCAAAAGGAGGACCCTGAACAGAGATTGAGAGAGAGAGGCAGTAGTTACATGTGGTTACTACTCTGCCTTCCTTTGGATAAAGAAAAGCTAACTGTATTCATTGTGGGTCAATTCGAAAAATATTTATCAGGAACTTGCTATATGCAAAGTGAGACAAGGGCAAAACCAGAGCTGAGTGTGAAATTTAGTCATAACTCCATGCAGAATGGATTAGAGAGAAGATGGTTAGGTGGTTCAGAAGATAAGTGGCCTGTGGGGTGTCCTAGGAGGAGGCAGTGGAGTGGAAGACGTGGAAAGCTGCAGGAGACCTTAGTATAGGAAGGGCTGGCTGGTGATGGATCTGTGCAGGTTGGGAGCATCAGAAATGACACCAGGTCTCCAGACCGGGTAACTGGAAACGGGTCAAGACACGTGCATGCTGGGGAAAGTGGTGGGTAGTGGTGATGCCTGGCTTCAGACAGGATGTATTTCTGAAGGGAAAGCGAAGAGGGATGGAAGGATGTAGACATAAAACTAAAACGAGATTCTTTGAGAGAGAATCTCCAAAAGGGGTTAGCCTCGGTCTGATGGTCAACATTCAATGGCCTTAGAGGTAAAGAGAGAAGACTGACTGGGTTTGATAACTGGGAAGCCATGGCTAATTTTGGATGGGGCGGCCTCAGCAGGGAGGCAGAGGAAGCCATATAGAAGATGGTTAAGGGGTTACTCCATCTAAAGTACCAAAAATCCAAAGCATCACTGACCCCTCTCTTTCACTCAGGGCCATCCAACTCATAGTAAGTCGGTCCTGTTGTCTCTGTCTCTTAAATGTAATATTTCCATCTTCCTTTATACACTGTGGCCCAGGGCACCACTCCGAAGCCCCTTGACCTCTCCAAATGACCCGAGTCGCTCTCCCCATAGAAATTTATACCTCCCCTCCAGTTTCCCAGGGATCCCCCTACTATGGCTTTTGAGGCTCTAGATTAGTGTTTCTCAAAACATCTGTGGTGAAGAAATGGCCCTCACCACCCAATCCATTGTGAACCAAGTGTTTTCAGAAATCCAATTAAAAAAGAATTACTGATCAAAAAATTACATGCTTTGATGCTAAAGAAATGTCAAATTACTATACATTTTGAACCTCTATCCTCATGCCAGGTTGGTAATGTTTGGAGATGAAAGCCCACAGAATGCCCTGGAATAGCTCTGCTCCGAAATGCTCTGGCCTCCGCCGGCCTTGACCACCCATTATTCTTATCTACCTGCATTCTTTATGTTCAAGCCAAGTTTGACAACAGCAAACTCGTTTCCTTAGGGTTTTTTGCACTCACTGTTTCCTTTGCCTAGAACATTCTAGCTCTGTATTTTCCTATGGTTAACTTCTTCTTGCCACTCAGGGCTCTCAGTTCAAATGTCACCTCAGAAAAGTCTTCCTGCACCATCTAACTTAGAGCACAAGACCCAGCACTCAGCATCCACTCCCAATCCCATCGCCTGGCTTTGCAGTCCTCACTGCATTCACGTTGACTTTTAATTGGATCAAGAAGAAATATTGTACTTTCCCACTGCCCCAGCTCATCGTAGGCCGCTTGCCCAAGCTGACTGCCCAAAGTTCACTGCCATCCAGTCACCCTCCTGGAGAACGGGAAGAACACAGATGTAAGCTGCTCACAAGAACAGAAGCCCAAAGGGCAGGGATCTGGTCTCTACTGTCCATGGCTACATCCCAGCCCTTAGAGTAGCTCTTGAAAGGATGCCCATTAAAACCCTGAATTAACAGGGAAAATGAAGACTACACTCTCAAGAAGTTCAGCTGTAATAGGAAGGAGAGATTTAGGGGTAGAAGATGGGCAAAACAGAGAACAAAGGAGCCCAGTCACTGTGGCTCAGTGGTTAAGTGTCAACCTATGAACTAGGAGGTCATGGTTAGGTTCCCAGTCAGGGCACATGTTCGGGTTGCAGGCTCCATCCCCAGCAGGGGGCGTGCAGGAGGTAGCCAATCAACGATTCCCTTTTATCATTGATGTTTCTATCTTTCTCTTCTTATCCCTTTCTCTCTGAAATCTATAGCAATATATATATTTTAAACAATATACTTTATTGATTTTTTTAAAGAGAGGAAGGGAGAGAGATAGAGAGTTAGAAACACTGATGAGAGAGAGTCATCAATCAGCTGCTTCCTGCACGGCCCCCTACTGAGGATGTGCCCACAACCAAGGTACATGCCCTTGATTGGAATCAAACCCAGGACCCATCAGTCTGCAGACTGACACTATATTCACTGAGCCAAACTGGTCATGGATATAGCAGTATATTAAAAAAAAAAAAAAAAAAAAAAAAAAAGAGCCGGGACCAGTTTGGCTCAATGGATAGAGCGTCGGCTTGGGGACTGAAGGGTCCCGGGTTCGATTCCGATCAAGGGCATGTACCTTGGTTGCGGGCATATCCCCAGTGGGGGGTGTGCAGGAGGCAACTGATCGATGACTCTTTCTCATCGATGTTTCTAGCTCTCTGTCTCTCTCCCTTCCTCTCTGTATAAAATCAATAAAATATATATATATAAAAAAGAAAACTAAAGAGAAAAATGAATTCTCAAGAGTGGCACAGACAGCGACATTACCATGAGCAGCCCTGACAGGTGTCTTCAGAGAGGAAAGACTTGGCCTGAGCCCTGAGAGGGGATGCATGTGGTAATTTAAGGAGGTCTGAAGAAGACATTACAGGAAGAGGGAAAAACATGGGCAAAGGAACAACAACAATAAAAAAAAAGTAGTTTTAAGCAGAAAATAATTTTTCAGAGACATATATTCAGCATTTTTTAAAATATATTTTTATTGATTTTTTACAGAGAGGAAGAGAGAGGGATAGAGAGTTAGAAACATCGATGAAAGAATCATTGATCAGCTGCCTCCTGCATGGCCCCCCACTGGGGACGTGCCCACAACCAAAGTACATGCCTTTGAACGGAATCAAACTTGGGACCTTTCAGTCTGCAGGCCGACGCTCTATCCACTGAGCCAAACTGGCTTCGGCATGAACCCTATTCTTTTTCAAATTGAAGAATTAGTAGCCAAAGGATACATGTGACAATTACTCAAGGCCAACGCGGTGGTGAAAACCTTGTTTTCTCGAATGGGATTGCTAAGGAACTACATTAACCATGTACAAAAGAGGAAAAACATAAAAAAATGTATACACTCCTATACATTTTGCAAATCTTAGAAACAAAGAAAACATGATACATAGACCCAAACTTAAATTGCTCAAAATCAAGTAACACAGAGATGACCTGCACCATTTCCAATTATGGCATATACCAATTTACAGATCTTTTTTTCTTTTTTTTTTCTTTTTTTTTTAATTTCTCACCCAAGGGTATGTTTATTGATTTTAGAGAGAGAGGAAGAGAGAAAGGGAGAAACATAGATGTGAGAGAGAAACATGGATTGTTTACTGGCGATTGAACCTGCAACCTACGTATGTGCCCTGACCTGGAATTGAACTCCTCAACCTTTTGGTATACAGATGATGTTTCAACGAACAGAGCCCAGGGTCAAGTTGCTAGACTTTTAAGTAGCCTATTGTTTTTAAAGGAAAGTGCATATGGCAGTAATATATTTTTCTTTAAAACCACATCCGTGTGCCAAAAGTCTTTGTCTAGTTATTTACTTTTGAACTGTTACTGAGTTGCTGGTGGGGGGGTAGAGTGAGGGAATCACTCCCTTTGTACCCAAGGAGACATCTGTCCCATGCCCTTTCTGGAAGTTCTCTTCCTATTAATTAAAGAACTACAAATATGAGTCAGACGCATGAGTTTACTGGTGACATAACTAGATATTCTGAGAATATTTCTGACCGAGGAAATGAATATCCATTCAGCCCTTGGTATGATCAAAAGGCAGGTGGTGGTTGGGGGGGAGTAATGCTACGGAATGTCCCAGCAAAGGACCTGGGCTCGGTGCAACAAGAACTGCACACGTCGGTTTACTTCCTACTCTCTTCCAGGAATCCCAGAAACAGTGGTGGAGATGACATCAATTACAAAGCAGACAGAGGGGAAGAGCTCTGCGGTGTTGGCAAGGCCTGGATACAAAACAAACACTCCTTATAAACAGAGAGAAGAGGGAAACACAAAGCAAATCCCACACACTTTCGCCATTACTAACGGCAAGCGATGAAAGGACGTCTCCAGTTTCTGAGAATGCTCCAGAACATCTGGACACGCACTAACCTCCACAGTGTTTAAGACGTGGTTTTTTGTTTTTGTTTTTTTTTTATCCTTCCAGTCTTATAAAAATCCAAAGCTCAGACATTATTGCACTCTCTCCTTAGGAGAGAGGCGCCCAAAGGAGGTCTCACACCACCTGTTGCATCACTTTTCAAACTGAAGGAACACCCTCCTCAGCCTTGGGAAGGTGTCATCTGCTAGTCACCTGCACAGCCAGGCACATCCCACTCAAGTCCCCTCCTTCGTCCCAGGAAGTTCCAGGGCAATGAGGCAGGGAAGACGGATACCAGATGCTCTGAAACCCTCTCCCCGCCCGTACTCACTGTGTCTCAGCCCCTAGCAGCATTTCCACTTTCTCATTCGCGTGGTTACTAAGGACAGTCAGAGTGAAGAGGTGACTGGCAGAGTTCTGTCTTGAATAAAGCATCGTGGAACTGTTCTTCCCTGGAGACAAAGGAAGCTCTTCATTGTCACAAGATTCCACCAACAGCTGGTCCCTTAAGGAATAATCATTGACGTTATAACTTTCTTCACTATAAGGAAAAGAGAAAAGAACATGTCAGTAATTCCGTGGATAAGACTGCCACCTGTAATCCTGATGTCAAACAGGACTCTCATCACCACTGCTTATCTCTCTTCTTCTAATCAAGCCCAACAATTCTTCAACCTACCCATTTCTACAAGCCACTGACGCTACTACCTTTCTCCATCCTTAAACCCTTCACGTCTTCTGGTTCATGCTTGGATTTCTTGGTGCCTGGTTATAATCACTCCTTGCATATACCCTCATCTCCTTGAAAAACCCCAGCCCAGCTTAGATACAGCTTTCCCTCTACTGTGAATATGTACGTTTGCAGTTGAACATGGGAGAGCTCAATAAATAACTGTTGAATAAATTGATAACTATGCAATACATTTAAGTCTAGTCTAGGAACAATGTCAAATGGCTCCCTTATTTAATCATAAACACAAATGGATGAACTTCGGGCAATGAAGAGAAAGGAAAAATTCCTATACTAGGAATTTCGGAACAAGCCATTTGCTCAAGATTTCTTGGAATTTCTTTTATTCAGTGCTGGACACCTGCCTGTCAATGACTCCCTTGTACTCTCCTTGAAAAACTATATCTTTTCTAAAATTTAGCTTGGTAGAGTGTTCCCTCAGAAAGCAGCAAATACAGTTATTATATATCAAAGCAAAATACTGCCCTCTGGCAAGTCTTCTGTTGCTAGGGTAATAATCTGTATTAACTGGAAGCACATATGGCAACATCATCCCCACAGCTCTCCTGAAACTAACTGCCTACAGACCCGCAAAGCCATACTCAGAACATACAACAGAATTGGTCACACCAAAATGAGGCTATCAAAGCTCACACTTCTTATAAAAGGAAGAAAGAGGATGATACACTTTACACACAACTAAGATTGAGTGTTTACAAGACCAAGCTAACCAGCAACAAAGAAGTCAATTTTTGGAAGAGCAGAAAACGTTTATAATATGTGTCTCAGGTATCTTGGACATGGATTTCATAGCCCAGGACTCACGACAAAACAAGCAAGCAAAAGCAAAGCCCCAACAAGAGAAACAAGATGAAGGGAGGCTTCCTTGTCATGGCCCTCTCTCTGCAGCTCTTCGTTACTCTGGATCCAAGTTAAAAAAGACTACCCCCGTTAGTCAAAGGCACTCAATTTCCAGTTAAAATAATTTGCTGCAACCAGCCTAATGTTGTGTGCCTGGGTGTTCAGGTAGTGCCTTAAACAATGACACCGAACAGGTATTCTTTGCATTCCCAAAGAAATAGAAGGCAAGGAAGTGTACATATTATGAAGCAGTCATTCAAGATGACTTACATTCCAAAAAGTCTTTAGCATGAAGTGGTTTCACCGGTTGGTTAGTCCCCATTAGAAGCCGAGACCAAGAGTTTACAGGAAACTAAAGTAAACTAATACGAATCAACTACCTAAATCTTCTTTTGCCTCTTAAGTTTTAGAGTTTCTAATTTCCCCGGTGTTTGCTTAAATACAAACAATAGCAGTTATTGTGTTTCATGGGTGCTTTGAATCTTTGTCTTTGAGAGTAATTAGAGACAGAAGAAGGAGATCAACTATAATAGAATGTTTTTAATTGTTCTCTTCAGCGATAAGAACTACAAGAACATTAAGAGCAAGGGTGACTGCTGACCCAGTTTATGCTTGTTGTTCTCTCAAATATCCAGACTGGGTGATGAACTTTATTCAGAGCTTTGAGAGTTCACCTCTAGGTGACAGTTCCTACACACCTGCACATCTGTGTCATTAAAGAGACCTTATAAGGGAACTATCCCATTGTTTTGACTGCTGAGTCCAAAGTAGGAAATGTTTGCCTTTTTTTTTAAAAAAAATCGATTCAATAGCAATCATCCAATATCATCATTTTTTCTAGATCTGTACACTTCATCATCTCATAATAAATAAGATCTACAACTTCACTACTCTTTTAATACATTTAATAGAAAAAGAACATGCTTTCATTCAACAGTAGTAACTTCTTTATCCTTGTCAGCAATTATTCAAACCCAATAAAACAAATACTGAAAAGCATCTTACTATTGCTAGCTGGTTCACTGCTCATGCTCCCTCACACGTGCACACACACTTAATCTCCTAGAGCAGTGTTTCCCAAAGTGTGGTACGCGTACCCCCAGGAGTACGGGAAGAGTTTGGTGGGGGTACGCGTTGCACCGGAGTTTGGTCGGGATATGCACTGCACCGTGCTTAGCTGTGCCTAATTCTACGTTCTCATGAGTACGAGGGGTACTCAGCGTTACGAAAATTATAGAAGGGGTACGCATATGTCAAAAGTTTGGGAAACACTGTCCTGGAGGTTCAAAGTAACTGCATTTCCTCTCCCCAGGCCTGCTAAATACTTAAATGCCGCCTCCTGATGTCAGTCAGCACCCACTATCGCTCTCATGCAGATACAGAGGATAACATATGTGTTATACTATGTGCCTCAGCAGAAGGAAGGGGGGAGAATCTATAGCCAGATGCAGCTATTTCCGACCCTAGCTCCCTCCCCTGCTTCCTCACTCCTGCCCAGTGAGTGGAAAGCTGGGCTGGGAAAGAAGCCCCTTCCCGGAGGGAAGCTGATGCTAATCAGACTTCCCCATGTTTGTCTCCAGCGCTCGGCAAACATATGGTTTGCATAGTCTCTGAAACAACTTGGACCACGAGTTAGGAAGTTAAATTGCTCAGAAACAGGCAAATGGAAAAACCACCTTCCCTCGCAGGGAGAAGTTTATATGTAGACTTCCTCTGATTGTCCTATACGTGCTCCAAGTTTACCAGCTGCGCATCAGGGCTGGCTGCTTTGTGCAAGCCCGTGCTCCTATCAGGTGCAGCGATCACGTCTACATAAGTCTGTTGCTCTGTGGCATAAACAATGATGGGTTTCCTGGTTAAAACCCCCTTCAAGTCCAGTAACCTTTGTTGACAACCCTTTCTTTTCCTTTTCTTTTTCCTTTTTTTTTTTTTTTTTTTTTTTAAAAAAAACAAGATAAAGAACTATCCGTACAGAACAGGATATGGTGGTAAGTACATACCCCAATTAGGCTTCCCTCCGGAAGGCCTTCTTTTGTTAAGCAGATCAGATAGTTTTCGGTTCTACTAAATTCCACTTAACAGCGCGGGTTGAAAAACGATACACCTCACAGTGAACAGTGGCTTTCTTAAATCAAGGATTATGGAGCACTTTTACCCTTCTGTCCCACAAACTTTTTTATAAAGGCTAGAATGATCTATGATGGGCATATATTTATTACTTTTAAATTAGGACATTTGAAAACTGCATAAACATGTGTTTTAAAACACCAAAACTGCACACACACACACACACACACACACACACACACACACACACGGGAGTATAGGATGATAGTCCAAACTGAGGATAGGAGTTATTTTGGGAAGAAGGAGGAGGAAGACGGAATAATAATAAAGGGATTTCAGGTTTACTTGTGGTATTATACCAGGTTTTTGTTTAAAAAGCAGAGATCTGACAACTATGAAAAGAAGTTAGTATCTGTCAAATATGAATGCTAGGTATGTTAGTATTTGACAATTTTCTGTTTGTTTGAAGCATTTCACAGTTCAAGGTACACATAAATTTAAAAATAGCAAATGCATAGGTGTGAGAGACTACCATCACACCATGTGTCTGTGGACGCCGATGGGTGTAGCTTAAGGGACTACTGGACAATATCATTGTTCCCTCGTACAAACAACTGATTATTTGCAGATGAAATCAGTAAAATGGTTGGGTTAAAAAAGAGACTTTAAAAAAAATCTATTTTATTTATTTTTTTTTATGGAGAGGAAGGGAGAGGGATAGAGAGCTAGAAACATCAATGAGAAAGGAACATCGACCAGCTGCCTCTTGCACAACCCCTACAGGGGATATGCCCCCAACCAAGGTACATGCCCTTGACCGGAATCGAACGTAGGACCCTTCAGTCCGCAGGCTGGTGCTCTATCCACTGAGCCGAACCCGTTTCGGCCAAAACACTTTTTTCACATGACTGTAGTTAATTTCAATTTTAAAGGTTGGTGTCTGATTACGCAAACAAGTTTTTGGTGGAAATAATAAACAATTTTAAATAATAACTATAGCATAACAGTTAAGAATACAGACTTGCCGAAACCAGTTTGGCTCAGTGGATAGGGCGTCCGCCTGCAGATTGAAAGGTCCCAGGTTCAATTCCGGTCAAGGGCATGTGACTTGGTTGTGGGCACATCCCCAGTAGGGAGTTGCAGGAGGCAGCTGATTGATGTTTCTCTCTCATCAATGTATCTGGCTCTCTATCCCTCTCTCTTCCTCTCTGTAAAAAATCAATAAAAATATATTAAAAAAAAAAAGAATACAGACTTGATTTAGAATGTCTGTAAAAAATCCCACTTCTATCACTCACTCTGTGGTCTGAGCAAGTTACTGATCCTCTCTGTTTTCAGTTTTCTCATCTGTAAAATGGGGATAATAATACCAATCTCTTTGGGTTGTTGTGAACATTCATTATCTGATGGTGTGTAAAAATCTTATAATCGTGCCTGGCTCACAGCCAGTAAATGTTAGTTATTAAACCGGGAAAAGGCGTAATTAGAGCTACCATAAATACTTCTGTTGAGAAATTAATAATTTGTCAAGTGCTCCAACCAGTAAAACAAGACATGATCTTGATCTAGAAACTGATTTCAAGCAGCTTTACTTGCCCAGCTTCTCAAAATAATTCTGAAGACTAACAAACATGCCACATGCTTCCTAGTTCATTGTCAAGAAGATAATGAATAGTGGAGCTGAGGATCACGTTCATTGGTCAGATAAGGATCTGCTGTTACTCTCTGTCACCAAAAAGGATGGCCAGTGACCCACAGCAGGACCAGCAGGAGAGCGCCTATTCCTGTCACCACTGATACTCAAATTCCACAGCCTGGGACCTTCCCAGCTGCCCACGCGATGCCCCGTACCCACGGTCCTTGACAAAGAGGAGGCGGACAGG